GAGGGTGTGATAAAAGAGAAAAAGGTAGCTTATGAGAGGTTTTTACAAAGCAGAAGTGTTATAAGAAGAGCAGAGTATATGGAAAGTAAAAGAAAGGTAAAGAGAGTGGTGAGGAGAGTGCAAAAGGAGAGCAGATGATAGAGTGGGAGAGGCACTGTCAAGAAATTTTAATGAAAATAAGAAAAAATTTGGAGTGGAGTTAAACAAGTTAAGAAAGCCTAGGGAAAAGTATGGATTTGTCAGTTAAAAACAGAGTAGGGGAGTTAGTAGATGGGGAGATGGAGGTATTAGGTAGATGGCGAGAAAATTTTGAGGAACTTTTAAATGTTAAGGAAGAAACAGAGGCAGTAATTTCATGCACTGGTCAGGGAGGTATAACATCTTTTAGGAGTGAAGAAGAGCAGAATGTAACTGTGGGGGAGGTACGTGAGGCATTACATAAAATGAAAGGGGGTAAAGCAGCTGGAACTGATGGGATCATGACAGAAATGTTAAAAGCAGGGGGGATATAGTGTTGGAGTGGTTGGTACTTTTGTTCAATAAATGTATGAAAGAGGGGAAGGTACCTAGGGATTGGTGGAGAGCATGTATAGTCCCTTTATATAAAGGGAAAGGGGACAAAAGAGACTGTAAAAAGAGTTTTTATGAGGATAGTGAGGCACAGGTTAGGGTGTGTAGAAGAGAGGGAGACTACTTCCCGGTAAAAGTAGGTCTTAGACAGGGATGTGTAATGTCACCATGGTTGTTTAATATATTTATAGATGGGGTTGTAAAGGAAGTAAATGCTAGGGTGTTTGGGAGAGGAGTGGGATTAAATTTTGGGGAATCAATTTCAAAATGGGAATTGACACAGTTACTTTTTGCTGATGATACTGTGCTTATGGGAGATTCTAAAGAAAAATTGCAAAGGTTAGTGGATGAGTTTGGAAATGTGTGTAAAGGTAGAAAGTTGAAAGTGAACATAGAAAAGAGTAAGGTGATGAGGGTGTCAAATGGTTTAGATAAAGAAAAATTGGATATCAAATTGGGGAGGAGGAGTATGGAAGAAGTGAATGTTTTCAGATACTTGGGAGTTGACGTGTCGGCGGATGGATTTATGAAGGATGAGGTTAATCATAGAATTGATAAGGGAAAAAAGGTGAGTGGTGCGTTGAGGTATATGTGGAGTCAAAAAACGTTATCTATGGAGGCAAAGAAGGGAATGTATGAAAGTATAGTAGTACCAACACTCTTATATGGGTGTGAAGCTTGGGTGGTAAATGCAGCAGCGAGGAGACGGTTGGAGGCAGTGGAGATGTCCTGTTTAAGGGCAATGTGTGGTGTAAATATTATGCAGAAAATTCGGAGTGTGGAAATTAGGAAAAGGTGTGGAGTTAATAAGAGTATTAGTCAGAGGGCAGAAGAGGGGTTGTTGAGGTGGTTTGGTCATTTAGAGAGAATGGATCAAAGTAGAATGACATGGAAAGCATATAAATCTATAGGGGAAGGAAGGCGGGGTAGGGGTCATCCTTGAAAGGGTTGGAGAGAGGGGGTAAAGGAGGTTTTGTGGGCAAGGGGCTTGGACTTCCAGCAAGCGTGCGTGAGCGTGTTAGATAGAAGTGAATGGAGACGAATGGTACTTCGGACCTGACGATCTGTTGGAGTGTGAGCAGGGTAATATTTAGTGAAGGGATTCAGGGAAACCGGTTATTTTCATATAGTCGGACTTAAGTCCTGGAAATGGGAAGTACAATGCCTGCACTTTAAAGGAGGGGTTTGGGATATTGGCAGTTTGGAGGGATATGTTGTGTATCTTTATATGTGTATGCTTGTAAACTGTTGTATTCTGAGCACCTCTGCAAAAACAGTGATAATGTGTGAGTGTGGTGAAAGTGTTGAATGATGATGAAAGTATTTTCTTTTTGGGGATTTTCTTTCTTTTTTGGGTCACCCTGCCTCGGTGGGAGGCAGCCGACTTGTTGAAGAAAAAAAAAAAAAAAAGTGATTATTATTACGTAGTATTGGCGTCATGAGTAGAGAGAGACTTAGCGATTTTAATGTGTACCTGCACACCAGCACAGTGTGTAAGTATATTTAGGTACAGGTACACAAGTATAATTATCAGAGTACATATAAAATATGCAATAACTTTAAAACACTTGAAATTTTGGAAAATTTCCTGACATAATAGATGTGGTCACGGAGAATGTAAACAAACTGGGTGTGGGGTGCTGTATTTGAAAGACCGCTTGCCGTATAGCAAATTTTGGTCATAATTTGACATTGCCGTATTAGCGGAACGCCGTAAAGTGGGGCCCTACTGTACTATATGGATTTTATAAAATGAACACAAAAAGTAACCAAAGAAAAAATATATAAAATTTAGCCATTCTTCCTCTGACTGGGTCCATTTTCCCTAACTTGTGGTATGACACTTACGAATGAGCCACAGGATTTTCTTCAAAATAGTGTCATTCAATTTACCATGCTCAATCTTTTTTTTTTTGTTTGATTTATATTATGAAAGTCAACATAAGCCAGATAATGATATTTAATGACACTGAAAAGATCAAGCAAAACTATTTTTTTTTTAATACACTGAGGCAAGGTGACCCAAAAAAGAAGAAACACTTTTGCCATCATTGTCTTGCCAGAGGTGAGCCAATACTACAATACAAACTCCAAATATTCCCACCTCTCCAGAGTGCAGGCACTGTACTTCCCACATTCAGGACTTAAGTCTGGCTAACTAGTTTCCCAGTCAGCCAGACTAGAGTTCTGGAATTTGAGACGAGAAGTTTGGATCCAACAAATTTGGTTGTTAAATAGAGGAAGTTTCTAAATGTTGTTCTGGTTAGACTAAAATTCCACTGAGCAAACTTTTGTTAAGCAAGGGATGATTATAATGGATTACTAATCTTTTGATATCCTACTTTATTCTGTACTTTTTTTGTTCCACTTCCCCATGGAGAATTATAAAAATACCTTTATCAAATATTTGAAGCACTAAAAAATTTTACAAATAAAATTAATGAAAACCATGTAGTGCTAATCAAATCACAGAATAGGTGGGGCTCAAATCCATGGCAGGCAAATCCCATTTTTTGCAATCGTGTTATTACAATTTCCTGAGTCATGTAGTACAGCAGGGCCCCACTTATACAGCAGGTTAGCTTCTAGGCTACTGCCAGGAAGCAGACATTGCCGGAAAGCAGAATGCCATCTTTTCCACTTATAAATGCAAGATAACAAATTTATACAAACAAATATAGTTAGCAATAGAACTAGGCATTAAAAGCAATAAAAAGTAAAATACACACAGTACACTCATTACTTACATTAAAATATTTGTAGTCTTAATGTAGGCTGAGAGGAGTAAACGAGGTAAAAATGAATGAGAGAGAGAGAATGAGAGAAAATGAGAGAGAATATGAGAGAGAGAATGAGTAAATGAGAGAGACGCGGAGTATGTAAACAAGCAGACAAACGCATCTGGTTATGGTTCACACACATTCATACAAACACCTTACATTGTGTACAAGTTGTCTTCACGTTGGTACAGTAGAATAAATAAAGAGCAACACTCCCGTTCTCATGTAAACCATATTTAGAAGAACTGATGCTCTGAGTGAAGGCATACAAAAGGAACAATTTTCTAGTTACCCCCAGTAATACTATTGTGTACAAATTTTCTTTGGTGATGAATTAGAGAAAGCATTCTTTCCAACACTCCGCCAAGACTGGAAAAACATCTCATATTTACGTTAATTTATTCTACTGTGGGGTGTATTTATCGTGTTTATATGTTACATAGCATGTTTATTATATAATTTGGAAAAAATATAATTTATGGATCAATAAAAAGGCTTATATTAATGTAATATATGACATTTAATGCACATCAGAGTGATTATTACTGCATATCATTATTAATATGGCATCCTCAAGACAAATAACACACTCTTAGTGATTTTAATATGTATCTGCATGCCAGCACTGTGTATGTTTATTTAGATATAGGTACACATAAGTATAATTATCAGAGTATATATAAAACATGAAAACTTTAAAACACATGAAATTTTGGAAAGTTTCCAGACATAATGGAGAGACGCATTGCTCACTGAGAATGTAAACAAACCTGGTGGGTGCAGTGACTATTAGAAAGTCAGGTGGGGGGAGCCATATAGTGAGTTTCGGTCATAATTTGAAATGTCCATATTAGCGGAACGCCATAAGGCGAAACGTCTTACAGCATTCCCTACTGGGGAACCTACTGTACTGTAATGCATATTTTTCTTTCTTTTAATTCTTATTGTTGAGCTAAGTACAAAACAGGTAAATTAGTCTCATTTCTGAAAAAGCTTTAAATTATTTTAATTATTTTTTTTACCTCTTCATTAACTCCCCCACCCCCAAAAAAAAAAAATCACAGAATGAGAGGGCATCAGTAATGCTGATAAAAATGAAACCTTTAGCAGCAATTAAACTGCATGATGAGTGGACCCCAAACCCATAGTAGGGAAGTCCTCACCCTCCCATCCCAGGCCAGTGCACCTCAGTTTTAATAAATGAGGAATTGTGGAAGCATGAAACTATTTAGCTCTTAATTTATCACACCAAGTAATTAGCAGAGTCTGTACAAAAACATTCAGTAAAAAATACAAATTTAGCAAATAAAGCCTATCTAAAGCAGAAAGAAGACACCACAGAGTAATAAATTTGTATGATTAGAAAACCACTGAACATTACCCATTACAACAGTAATTATTCTTTCACAGAAATAAGACAGATGCACCCACTAATTATACTAAGAAGACATGAAAAATATTCAGAAAAAGAAAACATTTTTCTATTACAAATTTTCAAATATTCATTTTAAAATTTGGCAGCAGGCTACCAGTCCTTTGTCCGATTGTCCACGTCAAAAATTGTTTGAGTATGAAATAAACGAGTAATTAAAAGCAATGAATAAGCATCAATTTTTATCTACCAAAACAACTTTATTGTGGATTACTTACCTCCTCATTTGTCATAGCTTCAAACTCTGCAGCCAAGGAGTTGTTATTTGTGGCAGTTACTAGTGTGCGTCCCTCTTCCAGTCGTGATGTCAACAACTGGGCTTGAAGATCCTCAACTTGCTCTACCAGATCTGAGCATAAACAACAATACATAAGCTGTGTGTTTCCAATGCTTCCAACAGAATTGCAGAATATATTTATAATTACACACACAACCCACAAACTTATGACGACGTTTTGGTCCAATTTAGACTGTTAACTAGGCACACAGAAGCATGAAAGGAAGGGAGCCAAATTAAATAAAAAAAAACGCACAATACCGTTACTGGAACAATACACAAATAACCCGCACAAAAAAGAGAGAAGCTTCCTGGTGTCTACTCTATTTCTTGCTCCTCCTGTCCTCTTCAATACTTCAGAGAAACTGGTCGATCTCTTTCTGACAGACTTAGGGAGCACAAAAATAGTGTTAGGCTTTTTTCTGTCACGTCATAGATCATAGCCATCCTATTGACTGGTCTTCTGCTAAAACTGTCTTCCCTACTTCCAACTCGAACAGTCGCCGTCTAGTTGAATCCTCTCTAATACACAACTTTCCTTGTATGAATCTTAGCCCTGGCTTCGTCTCTGTAGATGCCTTCCTCTCCCACTACATTGTAAAATGCTCCAAACTTCAGAACACCCGTGACTTAACCCGGCTCCTCATTTTTTCTTTTTTCTTTTCTTCTTCTTCTCCCTCTTCCCCTTTCCTCTTTCCTTTTTCTCCTCTGGGTTGTCTTTCTCTCTTCTGTCTCATGCTTCTGTTCCTTCTTCATTTATTTCACCACTTCCCCTTTCACGCACCTCTGTGCGCTTGCTCTCCCTCTGTGGGCACCTAACTCTCTTGCAGTGCTCCCCTTCCTTTGTATTTGACTGGCTCGTCCTCCTTATTCCACACTTCTACCACTACCACTACTACTACCTCTTCTACTACTACTACTGATGAAATTAAGACAAATGTGTGGCATCTGGTTGTCTTTGTTGTGGACGTTTCGCCATCCAGTGGCTCGCTGGATGGCGAAACGTCTACGATAGGGATGCCCGGGTGTTGTACATGCGTCTTAATTTCATCTTGTCGGTATTATATACCATTCTTGTACTACTACTACTACCACCACCACCTCTTCCTGCCTATATATAGCCGTCCTGCTCCACTTCTGGTTAGTGTGACTTTGTAAATGGTCCAAGTCGGACCGAAACGTCGTCGTAAGCTTCTCTTTTATGTGCGGGTTATTTGTGTATCGAGCCAAATTATATACTAGAACGGGGGTGAGGGGATGGGAGTAGTGTAACGAGAGCAGTGGCTGTTGTGGCAGTGGATGGGTGGGTGGTAGAAAAAGTAATGCAACAGTAGTAGAGGTGGCAATAAGAAGGTGGTAGTGGTAGTGAAAAAAGTGTGAGAGGGTGGAGACTTAGCAGAGAGATAATAGTAGTAGAAATAAGAGGTAGTTTAAGAACAAGAGAAAAAATGATCAATGCAGGAAAGCTAATGGCCCATGAGGGTAAGACCAAATCCTAACAGGACAAAACCCACCTAGGCAGAAGATAGGAAAGACAAGGAAACAAGAATAGGTTAATGAAGGAGGCAAGAAGGATCAGGTCAAATCACGAGTGTTCTGAAGTTTGGAGCATTTGACAGTGTAATGAGAAAAGAAGGCATCCACAGAGACAAAGCAAAGTTGTATATAATGGATGCTTCAACAAGATGCCATTGGTAAAGACTGGAAGGAGGGTAGACAGTTCTGACAGGAGACCAGTTAATAGGATGACCATGATCACTGACATGACAGAAAAGAGCATTACTTGTTCAACTTTTGGACGAAGACCTACTTCGACTAGTGGATGGTACCACTATGACCTCACCTCCTCCTGCTTCACCTCACCTCACTACAGTACATAAGCCATGTCTACGGCCCTATGCTGTACATTCTACAAGATTGATGGACTGAACACATCGACTCCAGGCTGAGGGACTGATTACCTCAAATTCCTCCTCTGCTTACGCCTTTCTTCTTTGTATTGGACTGATGAAGCCACTGTGTGGCGAAACGTTTCCTGAATAAAGATTCCCATATGTTGCATATGTGTCTCAATCTTCAACTTGTCGGTTTTTCAAACCATTCATCACATGTGTCTCAATCTTCATTAAAATGGTATAAAATACCGACAGGCATTTTATACCATGGACTATGGAACAATACTCTTCTCTAGACTGAGGGACTGACCACCTCAAAACCTCAAGGGTGATGGACTGATTACATCGTCTTCAAGTCTCTTCTGCTTCTATCAACTTTTCTGTACTCGACTGAAGAAGCCTACTGTGTAGGCGAAACGTTTCGAAATAAAAATACCTAACTGTTGCATATGTGTCTTACCTAACAACATTACTAGAGTCGGCAAGGCTACTAAATGATCCTCTGCCATAACTGAGTACCCTTCTTCTAGCCTTCACACATGAAATATTCCTTATACACAACTTTCCTAATATGAATCTTAGTACTGGCTTTGTTTCTGCAGATGCCTTCCTTGCTCATTACAGAGTCAAATGCTCCAAACTTCAGAACACTCATGACTTGACCTGATCTTTATTTCCTCTCCTAACCTCTTGTCCTTTCCTATCTTGTACCTAGGTGGGTTCTGTCCAATGAGGTTTTGTCCTACTGGAATTTCGTCCTACCCACATTGGCCATTAGCTCTCCTGCTGTGCTCCTGTTTTCTCTTGGTCTTAGACTACCTCTATTATTTCTACTACTACTCTCTCTTCATTAAGTCTCCAACTTCTTTCTCTTTTTTCATTACTACTCTAATATTATTCCCTCCTCTTGTTACACTACTCCCATCCCTGCCACCCCCCCATATATATTTTCTGGGTCCCTTCTCTTCACACTTCTGTGTGATTAGTCAATTGTCCAAGTCAGACTGAAATGTCATCAAAAGTTGCAGTCTCCTATGTGTGGACTATTTGTGCACTGTTCCAATCACAGTATTGTATCTTTTTTTTTTATTATCACACTGGCCGATTCCCACCAAGGCAGGGTGGCCCGAAAAAGAAAAACTTTCACCATCATTCACTCCATCACTGTCTTGCCAGAAGGGTGCTTTACACTACAGTTTTTAAACTGCAACATTAACACCCCTCCTTCAGAGTGCAGGCACTGTACTTCCCATCTCCAGGACTCAAGTCCGGCCTGCCGGTTTCCCTGAACCCCTTCATAAATGTTACTTTGCTCACACTCCAACAGCACGTCAAGTATTAAAAACCATTTGTCTCCATTCACTCCTATCAAACACGCTCACGCATGCCCGCTGGAAGTCCAAGCCCCTCGCACACAAAACCTCCTTTACCCCCTCCCTCCAACCTTTCCTAGGCCGACCCCTACCCCGCCTTCCTTCCACTACAGACTGATACACTCTTGAAGTCACTCTGTTTTGCTCCATTCTCTCTACATGTCCGAACCACCTCAAAAAACCTTCCTCAGCCCTCTGGACAAGTTTTGGTAATCCAGCACCTCCTCCTAACTTCCAAACTACGAATTCTCTGCATTATATTCACACCACACATTGCCCTCAGACATGACATCTCCACTGCCTCCAGCCTTCTCCTCGCTGCAACATTCATCACCCATGCTTCACACCCATATAAGAGCATTGGTAAAACTATACTCTCATACATTCCCCTCTTTGCCTCCAAGGACAAAGTTCTTTGTCTCCACAGACTCCTAAGTGCACCACTCACCCTTTTCCCCTCATCAATTCTATGATTCACCTCATCTTTCATAGACCCATCCGCTGACACGTCCACTCCCAAATATCTGAATACATTCACCTCCTCCATTCTCTCTCCCTCCAATCTGATATCCAATCTTTCATCACCTAATCTTTTTGTTATCCTCATAACCTTACTCTTTCCTGTATTCACTTTTAATTTTCTTCTTTTGCACACCCTACCACCCTATTTTATATTAATCATTATTACCCCCACTTCCCAGTGTAGTAAGCTGGGGAGGAGCTCTTGGTTGCATCTGATAGGGCAAACAGGAGAGCAAAGTAGCAGATGCTGCAAATGTAAGGAATAGCAATAAAGAGGTTTTATATTAAGCGAGGCTCAGGTTAGGGTATGTAAGAAGGAGTGGGTGTTATTATCCAGTGAAAATTAGCCTTAGGCAGGGATGTGTGATGTCACCATGCCTGTAACATATTTATAGTTGGGGTTATTAAACTAGTGAACATCAGGGTGTTGGGAAGAGGTGTGGGATTAAAAGACAACAAAACTGATACAGTTGCTTTCTGCTGATGACACGGTTCTTTCAGGAGATTCTGAAGAGAAGTGGCAAAGGTAGATGAATTTGGGAGGGTATGTAAAAGGAGGTTTTGTGGGTAAGGGGCTTGGACTTCCAGCAAGCGTGCGTGAGCGTGTTAGATAGGAGTGAATGGAGACGAATGGTACTTGGGACCTGACGATCTGTTGGAGTGTGAGCAGGGTAATATTTAGTGAAGGGATTCAGGGAAACCGGTTATTTTCATATAGTCGGACTTGAGTCCTGGAAATGGGAAGTACAATGCCTGCACTTTAAAGGAGTGGTTTGGGATATTGGCAGTTTGGAGGGATATGTTGTGTATCTTTATACGTATATGCTTCTAAGCTGTTGTATTCTGGGCACCTCTGCAAAAGCAGTGATAATGTGTGAGTGTGGTGAAAGTGTTGAATGATGATGAAAGTATTTTCTTTTTGGGGATTTTCTTTCTTTTTTGGGTCACCCTGCCTCGGTGGGAGACGGCCGACTTGTTGAGAAAAAAAAAAAAAAAAAAAAAATGTAAAAGTAGGAAATAAAATATGAACATAGGAAAGAGCAAGGTAATTGGAGTAACAAAAAATATAGATAATGATAGACTGGCTATTAGACTGGAGGTAATATGAAGGAAGTACATGTTTTTCAATATATGAGAGTGGACTTTTCAGCAGATGGATCTATGAAAGATAAGGTGAACCACAGAACCAGTGGTGGGCACAGCTAACCAAAAAGTTAAGCTTCGCTAACCACTAATCCGCTAACTAAAAAACTAGCTTCGCTTATGCTAAACAGCTGAAAAAATTAGTGAAGCTAATGCTAAATGTTAACCAATAACTATCATATTAATTCAGATTCAGTTAAGTTTTTTTGGTCTTTTACTTGCAAGACTTTCAGAACAAACCTGGAGAGCTTCCTAATAAGATGTAGAATGCCAACGTCATATGACGATCAAGCGCTACTAGTGCGAAAATAGTGATTGTTCAATTTTGTGATGTAACGTGAGCGACTGGCAAGGACACACTCGTCGCTGTACCAAAGCCCCATAGCACCCAGACTGAGTTGGCCCATTTGACTGTTTTCTTCATTAGTTCCAGTTACTCATTGTATTCGTTCATTTTATTCTGTTTCTGTTCATGTTTACAGTTAACTTAATTAAGATTTTGAACCCAGTAAACCACAAACAAGTAGCTGAAAATTGTGCTTAAAGTTGAAACCTTGAGGCCGACTTGTCACTGCACCAGCAATACAGCAACACAAATAGTTAAATGAATAAATGAAATCAAAGATCCCCTTAAATCCAACATACACCATTTACTGCACAAAATGCATAGCATTAGTATTATGCCAAGATCAGATGATGGCTGGGCTGATTACTACTCTGGCTGGGCCTTCTCCATCACTTGGATGTGATGCTGGTTACCCTTCATGAGTTGTTCCTGCTAGTGGCTCTGCCACAAGAAGACTGCCCGTGTTTTCCGCAGGAAGATCCGGCCTTGATTCTCTCCTCAAACTTGATGGCATTGCTGGGTGTTTCCTCTTAACATGCGACTTCAATGGAAATAAACCACATAAAATATGAACATAACGGAAAAATAAACACATAAGCAGTATAATGTGATCCTTTATTGACAATGTTTCGCCCACACAGTGAGCTTTATCAAGTGACTTGATAAAGCCCACCGTGTGGGCGAAACACTGTCAATAAAGGATCACATTATATTATGCGTTTATTTTTCCATGCGACTTCAAGTTGTAGAGGCTCACTGCCTATCCCTTGATGATGGTCTCCTTGGGCTGACCGGCACATGCCATACAGGAAGAACAAAATATTGGCATTCTTTGTATCCCTTGAGGACAAAAGTCATCCAGGTGGGGCCACGGTTACACTACAGCTTTAAGTGGTTATGCTACAGCTTTATACATCATTAGTAAGACCTCACCTAGATTATGCAGCTCAGTTCTGGTCTCCATATTACATAATGGATATAAATTAGTTAGAAAACATTCAGTGTAGAATGACTAAACTAATACATAGCATTAGAAATCTTCTGTATGAAGAAAGATTGAAGTCTCTTAAATTACATTCACTTGTAAGATGAAGAATGAGGGGAGACATGATCTAAGTGTACAAATGGAGGATGGGTATTAACAAAGGGGATATAAATAAGGTTTTGATGACATCCCTCCAAGAGAGAACCCACAATAATGAATTCAAATTAGACAAGTTTGGTTTGGAAATAGAGTAGTTGATCAGTGGAACAGTCCACTTAGTAGGGTTATCGAAGCTAAAACCTTGGGTAGTTTCAAATTTAGATTGGAAAAGTGCACAAGTTCTAGGTAATAGGTTAGTAGACAGCAACCACCCAGGGAGGTACTACCATTCTGCCAAGTGAGTGTAAAACAAAAGCCTGCAATTTTTTTACATGATGGTAGGATTGCTGGTGTCTTTTTCCCATCTCATAAACATTCAAGATTTCAGGTACATCTTCCTACTTCTACTTACACTTAGGTGACACTACACATGCATATACAAGCATATATATATACACACCCCTCTGGGTTTTCTATTTTCTTACTAGTTCTTGTTCTTGTTCATTTCCTCTCATCTCCATGGGGAATTGGAACAAAATTCTTCCTCCGTAAGCCATGTATGTCATAAGAGGCAACTAAAATGCCAGGAGCAAGGGGCTAGTAACCCCTTCTCTTGTATACATAACTAAATGTATAAGGAGAAACTCTCGTTTTTCCTTTTGGGCCACCCCGCCTCGGTGGGGTGCAGTCGGTGTGTTGAATGAAAGAAAGAAGAAATGCACGAGTGAGGGGTTGGATTTGAGTGGGCCTTGCACATGAGTAAATAGAATTATCAAAGCTTAATGCTTGGGTAGCCTTTATTTTGTTAGTGGGTTGGATTTGTGAAGGACTTGCCTAGTATGGGTCAACAGGCTTACTACAGTGTTCCTCCTCTTATGTTCTTACAGGTTCTGAGACTCCTGGTCCTCACCCTGAGCACCCTCTGCTTCAACCACAGATACTGCAGACTTCTCAACAACACCCTCAGGCAGAACAAACGTCTCCCCTGTTCATAACGATAAGCGACTACACACCTCGGTGATTGCTGACACTAACACTATCACAATGCTGCTCAGATACTGCTACTGCTGCGTTGACAAGTCACGTTTACACAGTCAGGCAATAGTGTGCCTGACTGACTGTTGGAGAAACGCCCACAAGAGACAGGAACAAACACGTGTTCCATCGAAAAGTCACTGCTTTCTGACTACCAACAACGTATGAATTTTTTTTCAGCGAATTCAAAGTTAGCGGAAGCTAATTGGTCCGCTAACAGTTTCCAAAGTTAGCAGAAATGCTAATCCGCTAAACAGAATGTTAGTTCTGCTATTAGTGGAACTGTGCCCACCACTGCACAGAACTGACGGGGGAAAAAAACATGTGGTTGATGAACTGAGGCCTCTATGGACACAAGGGGGAATATACCAGAGTATGTATAGTGGTACCAACTGTCATACGCGTGTGCAACATGGGTTTTAAATGTTGCAGCAAAAAGAAGGCTGCAGCCAATGGAGATGTCATGTTTCAGGGCAATATGTTGTGTGATTATGCAAGGAATTAAGAGTTTGGAGATCAGAAGGTGTGAGGTTACCAAAGTATTATTAAGAGGGTGGAGGAGGGGTTGTTGATGTGGTTTGGACATTTAGAGAGGATAGAGCAAAATAGGATGACTAGCAGGGTACATAATTCTGGGGTGGAGGAAAGGAGGCATGGGGAGTCATCCCAGGAAGGGCTTCAGGAGAGGGTTAAGGGAGTTTTGAGTGTTAAGGACACACAAGACTATTGGACATCCAACAGGAATATGTGAGCATGTTAAATAGGAGTGGCATGGAGGCAAGTGGTTTTAATAATTTTATGTACTGTTGGAGTGTGAGCAAAGTAACATTTATGAAGGGATTCAGGGAAAACCAGTCAGCAAGATTCAAGTCCTAGAGGTGGAAGATATGATGCCTCCACTTGGCAAGACAGCTGTGAGGGAAAAGCCAGTAATTTGTGGGGTTATGGTTGTTCAGACACCCAGGAACCATTAGTGTGTTACTGCCCGCACTACCATCTAGTGAGCTGAGGCTAAACTCCAGTTCCTGGTGTCTATCTTGCTTTAATTACTACTCCTGGTAGCATTAACCTTACCTGGTGTGGGTTGAAGTTGGGGGAATTACTTCACCTCCATTCTTCTCTTGATCAGGTAAGGTGATCTACCAGGAGTGCATCTGTTTATTTGTTTACGATTTTCCTGGTTACCAGTAATGACACTGAAGTTGAATACCACCCTTTTATGTAACCAGTGTAATTTTCTTTGTCAGCTCTGCTGCTGGCCTGTCAACCAGGGTAGACGCAAGAAATTGGAGCAAGATTCCTGTCTACAGGACGTAGTGGGATATTACTCCTCACCTTTCAAATTTTATTTGTGGTGCTACAACCAAGTGGTGACAGGATTTTCCAGAACATCGGACGAACACCGCCACCCAGGATAACCTACATCATTTCTTCAGAACATCGGAAGACCATCCTAGGCATTATATACTCCTGTCCTAACATCATACTAGAACCACAAAGGTCAATTTTATTATTTAATTTTACTTAAAAGCCTTAGAAAATTATCTTCTTATTACTCAAGTTATTCATTTATTTATTTTTCCATTCTTTTTTCTTCAGGCGGAAGGCGTTTCCCTGACAACATTGACTGAATGAATGACAGTTTTTATCAGGTCCCCTACCTCATTGGGAGACAGCTGATGTGTTAATTTTTTGTATTTATATTTGACATAGCTTGAAATACATACAAGACATTAATTCTAATAGCCCCATAAATAATGTATGCATTATGTCAATAAGCATTTACACAGTACTATCTAGCATACATTAAACTAATACCTAGTTTTGGTTTTAAGAGTACTTTCCAGCCATGGTTTGGTCACTGGCTCAACTTCCTTAAATAAACGTAGCTTGTTAATCAACATCTAATAGTATACTTCACCTTTATCTCATTTTCAAACTGTCATTATTCTTAAAGCACAGAGTTGTTTCTAGCCCCAAAGTTCTGAAATATTCAAACTTACTTTTATTCTCATCTCTAAGTTGCTTAATGGTGGCCTGTAGCTCTGCAGACTGTGCTGTTTGTGGATCCACACTTGGAGATCGCTTTCTGGCAGTCTCTTCTGCAGTTCGAAGTCGCTCTATTTCACAACGTAACTCTTCTATCACCTTTTACAGAAAATAAGAAAATCCCCAATGTAGTATCTTACAAGATAAAGAAAAAATCTAAAATAATTAATTTAGTTCACAAAACTGCTATAAATCATCTTGATAATTGGGGTAACACTTGCATACATTATCTTATAGTACTAAGTGAAAAATGTGAAATGATTTACAGCATAGTATAGACTTCAATTAAGATGAATAATAATTTTTTTTTTTCAACAAGTTGGCCGTCTCCCACCGAGGCAGGGTGACCCAAAAAGAAAGAAAATCCCCGAAAACAAAATACTTTCATCATCATTCAACACTTTCACCTCACTCACACATAATCACTTTTTGCAGAGGTGCTCAGAATACAACAGTTTAGAAGTATATACGTATAGATACACAACATATCCCTCCAAACTGCCAATATCCCAAACCCCTCCTTTAAAGTGCAGGCATTGTACTTCCCATTTCCAGGACTCAAGTCCGGCTATATAAAATAACCGGTTTCCCTGAATCCCTTCACTAAATATTACCCTGCTCACACTCCAACAGCTCGTCAGGTCCCAAATACCATTCGTCTCCATTCACTCCTACCTAACATGCTCACAAACGCTTGCTGGAAGTCCAAGCCCCTCGTCCACAAAACCTCCTTAACCCCCTCCCTCCAACCTTTTTGAGGACGACCCCTACCCCACCTTCCTTCCCCTACAGATTTATACGCTCTCCGTGTCATTCTACTTTGATCCATTCTCTCTAAATGACCAAACCACCTCAACAACCCCTTTCTAGCCCTTTGACTAATACTTTTATTAACTCCACACTCCGAATTTTCTGTATAATATTTACACCACACATTGCCCTTAGACAGGACATCTCCATTGCCTCCAACCGCCTCCTCGCTGCAGCATTTACAACCCAAGCTTCACACCCACATAAGAGTGCTGGTACCAGTATACTTTCGTACATTCCCTTCTTTGCCTCCATAGGTAACATTCTTTGTCTCCACATATACCTCAACGCACCACTCACCTTTTTTCCTTCATCAATTCTATGATTAACCTCATCCTTCATAAATCCATCCGCTGATACGTCAACTCCCAAATAGTATCTGAAAACATTCACTTCTGCCATACTACTCCTCCCCAATTTGATATCCAATTTTTCTTTATCTAAATCATTTGATACCCTCATCACCTTACTCTTTTCTATGTTCACTTTCAATAATATATAATAATATATAATATAATAATATATTTAAAGAAAATCCTAGGTAGTAGATTGGTAGACAGCAACCGCCCAGGGAGGTACTACCGTCCTGTCAAGTGAGTGTAAAACGGAAACCTGTAATTGTTTTACATGATGGTAGGATTGCTGATGTCTTTTTTCTTTCTCATAAACATGCAAGATCTCAGGTACGTCTTGCTACTTCTACTTACACTTAGGTCACACTACACATACATGCACAAGCGTATATATACACACCCCTCTGGGTTTTCTTCTATTTTCTTCCTAGTTCTTATTTATTTCCTCTTATCTCCATGGGGAAGTAGAACAGAATTCTTCCTCCGTAAGCCACGCGTGTTGTAAGAGGCGGCTAAAATGCCGGGAGTAAGGGGCTAGTAACCCCTTCTCCTGTATAAATAACTAAATTTGATGAGAAACTTTTGTTTTTCTTTTTGGGCCACCCTGCCTTGGTGGGACACGGCCAGTTTGTTGAAAAAAAAAAAAATTAAAAAAAAAAAAACATTAATATTCATCGCCACAGGGAAGTGAAACAAAATTCTTCCTCCATAAGCCACGAAGGTCATAAGAGGTGACTAAAATGCTGGGAGCAAGGGGCTAGTAACCCCTTCTCCTGTAATATTACTAAATTTAAAAACAAACTTTCCTTTTTCTTTTTGGGTCACCCTGCCTCAGTGGGATACAGCTGGTTAGTTGAAAGAAGAGAAGATTAATATTCAAGTTTGTTTATTTTGACCTTTTTTTTTTTTTTTTTTTTTTTCCAACAAGTCGGCCGTCTCCCACTGAGGCAGGGTGACCCAAAAAAAAAAAAAATCCCCAAAAAGAAAATACTTCCATCATCATTCAACACTTTCACCACACTCGCACATTATCAATATTTTTGCAGAGGTGCTCAGAATACAACAGTTTAGAAGCATACACATATAAAGATACACAACATATCCCTCCAAACTGTCATGATTATTACAATACTCTGACAAAACAAAAAATGAATAGAACCTGTGATTTTAAAAAAGTATACTAAATTCTTAGATTTTAACAAGAAAAACTTTACGTCTGTTTACGAGATTCTTCCCACGTGAAGTACTGTATTAAAAAAAAGAGGTGCACCACAAGACAAACAGATTAACTGTGTGACAAGTGAGGAGAGTATAACTACAGTATGTTAAAAACATTTTTAAACAATATTTTAACTGGTCCAATTCTTAAAAGGATCAAATGATATATAAAAACAAACTACAGCAGGCTCCCACAATTCACCCCAACCACAACTAAAATTTTCACTATATTGTCAATGAAATTTTGTTCCCAAGGCTGACATTTGTAAAAGTGTCCTCATAATCACTGGAAGGTTTTAAAAATACACCTTTGCCATGAAAATGACTGTTTAATGATTTCTAGTCTTGGAAATGCTCACTGCTGAAATGCATTCTTCTTCGGTATATGTTGTTGGTATAGATGTGGCAATTTCCTCTTTTTTGGAAAAATTAGTTAAGATATATGGCTTACTTTTACCAATGATGACAGGTGATGGTGGTTGGAGATGATGGTAACAGCCAATACACTGTGCCACACATTTGTCAAGGTATTGTACAGGGCCACATCAGCTCTATGCATATGGACAAGCAACATAAACCATTGGTACAACTTGCAAGGAAATGTGGTTAATCATTACCGATGGTGGTAGCTGATATTGCCTGCGATATGTTTATGTGGTTATTGTACTAGGCCACATCAACCTTTTCCACACAGAACAGAAGCACTGCAGCCTACCGGCCTATGATAGGCAGGTCCTCAAATCCTACTCACTTTTAAAGCTACCCAAACTGTTAGCTTTAAAAATAGGTTAGAGACAAATATGAGTGATATGAATTTGGTTTGAGAAGGAACTGTGCATCATGGGCCAAGAGGTCTGCTGCAGTGCACTTCTGTTGAATTTTCAGGAATGTCACCCGTATGTGATTTGTGGCAGTTTACTGTATATAGGTTTGAGAAAACTAGGAATCCCTCCCCCCCCCCCCCAAAAAAAAAAAAAAAAGGTTACAAGAAATTATTTAAACTGTGCTGTAGCACACCACAAATTAAATATGTAATGAAGTGATAAATGACTAAAAACATTTGAAGCTATTTTTTTTTGGTGCATCTGTGCTACTATGAAGACAAACTTGTTACCTGTGCACTTCTCTCTCTCTCCACCTTAATTTCTTCTTTTTCTCTCCTAGATAATTCTGCCAATTTTGCATTCTCCTGATGCAGAGCTGAAGCTGAAAATTCTGCCTCAGAAACCCGATCCTCTAAAGATGCCTTCTCTTTCTGCAGCTTATCTACCAGTGCCTTAGACCGCTTGCAATCATCATCTATTGAATTTTTCTCTTTTTCTAAGCTAGATAACCTGAAATATTCAAATTGTTAATGATATAAACTGAAAAAAATAGCTCACAAGCATATTTAATTTATGATAAAGTGTTCTAGTAAAATATTAACATCACAATAACAAAAGTTTACAGTAATGGTAGAAGATACTAAGAGTATGGAAATTAGAAATACTGTACATTTTTATGGCATTCTTTTTTTGAGGTTCTGCCCACACAGTTGGCTTTATAAAATCACTTAAGTGACATTTCACCCAGTGCATGGGTGAAATGTTAACCCCTTCAGGGTCCAAGGCCCAAATCTGAAGTGGTGCCCCAGTGTCCAAGAATTTTCAAAAAAAAATTTTTTTATTTTTTCTTATGAAATGGTAGAGAATCTTTTTTGTGAAGATAATAAAACAAAAAGTATGAAATTTGATGGAAAATTGACGAAATTATGCTCTCGCGAATTTTGATGTGTCAGCGATATTTACGAATCGGCGATTTTGCCGACTTTGACTCCCATTTTAGGCCAATTACATTATTCCAGTCAACCAAATTCTTAGCTATTTGACTAGTATTACTTCTATTCTATCGATTGAGCACAAGAAATCGCCAAGTCAACTGTTTCAACTACAAATTAAAGTGATCAGAAATTGTTAATTTGGCCAATTTAACACAAAGTTCAAAATATTCCAATTTCAAAATAGGGTCCAGAATAAACAATGTAGGTATTCCTGGAACTAAACTAACATTTCCTCTGTTCATTAGTTACGTTTTGAGGCTTTACAAATAAATTCCATTTTGATTTTTTATTCACAATGAATTTTTATTCACACCAAAAAATAGAAGATTTACTGTTATGCAATACTGTAATAATTGTATAAATATCATCACCATATTTGTGAATGCATATTAGACCCACCAGCTGGCGTGTATTAGACGTGTGAGGTCGTTTGTTTACTCTTGAATATCGGCAAAATTTTAACATTTCTGCTACTTTGAGCTCAGTTTCAAGCCATTTCCAGTGTGAAAACCAATCAAAATCATCTCTATTTCTGTAATATGTCTTCCATTCTATCAAATGAGACCAAGAAATCGTAAATAGAACTATAAAAAACATACGAAAAAACCTGCAAAGTCGCTGTTTTAATAAAAAAATCATGATTTCAGTTTTTTTCTCTCATTATACACAGCGTGCTGCAGGATCTGTTTTATGTGGTGCACACATACCACATAGATGTATTCTCTCATATCTAGGCCCAAATGTACCACTCACAGTTTATCAGAGTGAGCTGAGCTCATGACATAGATCTACGGTTTGGACCCTGAACGTAAAGCCGTAGATCTACGGGACGGACCCTCAAAGGGTTAATAAAGGATTCCATATAACTGCATTAGTACAGAACTATACATACTATGATAAAAATTACCAAAATATTGATTTTGCATTTTGGTTTATCAGCATGAACTCCATTTCTTAATATAAGTATTGTATGACAACAAGCTAATAAATACACTACATAAAATAAATACAATTATGTACTTCATTAGTGCTTGTTTTATTCTCAACTACAAGATTGTGTGGAGAAATCTGCAAACTAATAAATATCATAATCTATAATCTAGAAAATGACTTTTACCATTAATCATTATGACATACAATGAATATAAGTGATACTTGAATGTACAGTACAGTATCATTTAAAGCACATAAGGTACACAATAAGCTCTTATAAAGCTTTTCTATATAGAGTAATTTTTTCTAAATGTGACCGAAGAGTGCATCCGGAATTGTATAGCACAGGTCTTAACCCTTTGACTGTCGTAACCCCCAATCCTGAGGTGTCTCCTGGTGTCGCAAAATTTCAAAAAAAAAAAAAAAAATTTTTTTCTTATGAAATGATAGAGAATCTTTTCCCGATTGTAATGACACCAAAAAAACAAAATTTGATGGAAAACTGACGGAATTATGCTCTCACGAAGCTAGCGACCTTGGCGATATTTACAAATCGGCGATTTCGCCCACTTTGAGCCCTATTTTCAGCTAATTCCATTGTTCCAGTCGACCAAACTCATAGCTATTTCTTTAGAACTCCATTTTTTCTATCGATTGAGTACAAGAAACTGCCCATTTACCGATTTCAACTACCCAATAATGTGGTCAGAAATTTGCAATTTGGCCAATTTCACAAAAACACTAAAAAATATGACAATTTCAAAATAAGGTCCAGAATGAACAATGCAGACATTCCTGGCTCTAAAATAAACATTTTCATCGTTCATCAGTCATGTCTCCAGGTCCCTCTGATATTACTCTTGCTTTCTATTTTGAATTTTTATTCAAACAAAAAATAGAAGACTTACTATTATGCAGACTACTGCAATACTGTAATAATTGTATAAATAACATCAACCCATTCATGACTGCATATTAGAATGGCTAGTTGGACATTTATTGGACAATGACATCATTTGTTTACTTTTGAACATTGGCAAAAATCAAACATTTTTCCTACTTTGAGCTCCATTTCCAGGTTCTTTTTATAGTAAAATCAATCAAAATCACCTCTATTTCTGTAATATGTTTTCCATTCTATCAAATGAGATCAAGAAAATGAGAATACAACCATAAATACTATACGAAAATAGACCACAAAGTCGGCATTTTAATTAAAAAAAGCGGTCAGAGTTTTTTTTTTTCTCATTATGCACTGCGTGCTCCAGGATTTTTTTTATATGGTGCACACTGACCACACAGGCCCATTCTCTCACATGTGGGCCTACCAGCTTTCTCCTGCTTGATTTGAAGCCGCTAGAATTTATGAGTATATATACGTCAAACACGGTACCTCGTAAGACGTATATATACGGCCGCGACAGTCAAAGGGTTAATAGTAGCTGCTATACAATTTTGGATGCAGCTACTATACACACTATGCCTAACATGACCTGCCTTGGTGAGATATGGCCGGTTTGTTGAAAGAAAGAAGACCTAATACGAGTATTAGATATAGACAAACAAATAATGCTTGTAAAACTATGTATTTAGATAGTAGGTTGGTAAACAGCAACTGCCCAGGGAGGTACTACCCTCCTGCCAAGTGAGTGTAAAATGAAAGCCTGTAATTGTTTTACATGGTAGTATTGTTGGTGTCCTTTTTTCTGTCTCGTAAACATGCAAGATTTCAGGTACGGCTTGCTACTTCTACTTACGCTTAGGTCACACTATGCATACATATACAAGCATATATATACACACCCCTCTGAGTTTTCTACTATTTTCTTTCTAGTTCTTGTTTATTTCCTCTTATCTCCATGGGGAAGTGGAACAGAATTCTTCCTCCGTAAGCCATGCGTGTTGTAAGAGGCGACTAAAATGCCGGGGGCAAGGGGCTAGTAACCCCTTCTCCTGTATATATTACTAAATTTAAAAAGAGAAACTTTAGTTTTTCTTTTTGGGCCACCCTGCCTTGGTGGGATATGGCCAGTTTGTTGGAGAAAAAAAAATATGTATGTTAGTATTTAGGGAAAAGTGCTCAACCCACAGGGGTCATACAGTGCCTGGGAAATGGAAGGCAATGAGGCTCAATCCAAAGATGATGGTAGGTCCAAATGCTTGGATCAAGAGCCCCTCACTAACTTGACTTTGCTTGATGGGTAAAATTACATTAAGGGTATATTAATGGTACAGTACTATGTTGCACATAGTATGTTCTGTGTACCACTGAACAGACTGAAGAAATATTACTGTCAAGTCTCAACAACATCCCATAAATCATTGAAATTATTATAATATAAAAAATTAACTTTTTAAAGACATGAATGAACTCACTTAATAGTATAATTCTCAATTGTGAGTTGTTTTTCTCGTTCAATTCGGGTTATGAGTTCTCTGTTCCTGCGCTGCTCCTCTGCATGTCTCTCTTCATGCCGCAGCTCTGTTTCGCGGAGTTGTTCTTCCAACATTACAACTCTGTATCAAGTAGAAATATTTAAGTGTCGATTCATTTATAATAAAACCTGAAGATAATTACAAGTATTTCTTAAAACAATGATTATTTTGGCAAGCTCTGTACGCTAGAAAATACATAGCTTAAATAGTTTTTCTATTAATATACATACAGCATGCATGAGTGAACATGTTAGATAGGAAAGAATAGAGACGAATGGTTTTTGGGACTTGACGAGCTGTTTGGAGTGTGAGCAGGGTAACATTTCGTGAAGGGATTCGGGGAAACTAGTTAGCCGGACTCGAGCCCTGGAAGTGGGAAGCACAGAGCCTGTACTTTAAAGGTGTTTGGGATATTGGCTGTGGAG